ATCAATAATTCATCGATGAAATGATGCTTAAATGTTGATGAATTGCTGTTGATGACAGCCTATGACATGCCCATGTTAAATTCATCAGTAATTTGTATGGCAATTCATCGATGAATCATCAACAAAACGCTTCGGTTATTGATGAAACGTTGATGAAATGTTGATGAATGGTACTGCAGGGTACATACATACAGTTTGTCAAGAAATTCTTTGCAAAATGATAAACGACACAGAATTTATTTTTTTAACTTGAAATTTATCAACAAAAACTAATTTTTTCCTTAATTTTTTCTTTTAATATTATAAAATGATGTTTTAGCTATTAATATGCATAAGAAAAAATAAAATATCTTTATTAATCATCACAAAAAACAACAAAAACAAAATAACCGCAAGTATTCCGTTGTCAAAAATTTCTTTGCAAAATGCAAACACAAGTTAAGGGGATTCCCAGAATATGGCAACGCTGCATCATTTTCGAGAAAAATGGACGCGTGCCACTTCGGAGGGATCTTAGCTTTTGTTTTCGTGAAGAAGTTCGTTTGGAAAACTTTGCAGTTGATTAGAGTGAGCGTTTTTGAACATGCCTGGCAAACGAGTTGATGAAAACACAATACAGTTGGTTTACTATAACCATTATAAGTGCAAATCGGCCAAGGAACTTTCTGAAATGTTTAATATTAAACTGAGAACGGTTTACAATATAATAAATCGTGCAGAGAAGACATTAAAAATGATTGCGGTAAAAAACGAGCCATGAGACAGTGCGAAAAGTTTTAAATGCACACAAGTACTCATCACATGTAGCCAGAAAGAAGCCTATGCTTTCGGCTATAAATATTGAAAGGCGGCTTAATTTTTCGATTGCCCACATTAACCAGCCTTCCGAGTATTGGGATGATGTAATTTTTTGTGACGAGACGAAGATAATGCTCTATACCAGCGATGGGCACGAGATCTAACGGTTTGAGCAGCAGCTCGCTGAAAAAAAAAACAACAACAACCCCCAGCGTTGCGAAGCGTCGCACCCACGCGACACACAGAATGTGCGAGCCGAGAAAATACACTGACAAAAACTTTTTAAGTAGATCAATATCTTCAGCCATTTTGGCGTGCATTCATGTCCGCCTAAGAAAAACGACTGTAAAAAAAAACCAATCTTTTTTCTTTAGTGCAGAAGTCAACGCCAGCCACGCAGGTCCCTTTAAAATTGTTTTTGTTTTTGGGACGATGTGCGAGTTCGGTCGCTTATGTTTTGTTGTTGCAAACTCGGGATCGCGGGGATGTGCTCGCTACCTGCGCCAAAGGACAGTGTGGTTGTTTTTGTAAATCTTCACGGTTCGCTGATCGCGAGGACCGACTGGAATTGTGCGACTTGCTGGCGCCTCCGAAAAAAGATAACGGTTTGAGCAGTGTGAGCAAATTGAGCCACGGCGTGCCCATCGCTGCTCTATACTCATGACGGCCCCACAAAAGTTTGGAGAAAGGCAAATACAGCTTTCCAGCAAAAGAATATTATACCAACTGTGAAATTTGGCAAGCTGTCTGTTATGGTATGGGGTTGCATATCATCCCAAGGCGTTGGAGAGCTGCGGATTTTTAACGAAATTATGACAAAGGAGTTTTATTTGGACATTCTTAAAAATGAATTGTCAAAAAGCGCGAACAAATTTGGCTTCATTGATCCCCAAAACCCAAATAAACTGAAATACAAGCTGTACCAGGACAACGATCCTAAACACAAATCGCTTCTGTGCAGGACATGGTTGCTTTACAACTGCAGCAAGGTCATCGATACTCCTGCCCAAAGCCCGGACTTAAATCATATAGAAAATTTGTGGGCTTTATTGAAGAAGAAAGTGGCTAAACGGGCTCCAACAAATAAGAGTGCTTTAATTAAAGCCATCCAGGAGGAATGGGAGAAAATACCTCAGTATTATGACCTAAAAGGTCTTATAAATTCGATGTCGCGACGTCTCCATGCTGTTATGGATGCAAAAGGACTCCATACCAAATATTAACCAAATTTGTTAAGGGGGGATATACATGTAAACCAAAATTTTTTGGGCAAATTTTTTTTTTGGTTTAAAAAATAGTTTATTATTTAAAGAATATAGTGTGTAAGTTTCATTATCGAATTCCAACTCTAAGTGCCTCAAATCAAGTATGCACGCAAGGTTCACAAGGGTTAACGTGGGCGCATTAAAAACTTTAAACGTCTTTTTCTCAGCTTCTAATTTTTGCACTTCTACCTATGCTATGGACACGATTCACAAAAAACTATGTAACATATCGGAGTGAATCAAAAATTATTATGATCAGCATGAAATTATCTTCTATTTGAACCTACATGGTTGTTATAAAACTGAGTATTACTATTTTTTAAGAGGGTGGGAAGTGAAAACTGATAACCTGAAAATGGCATTTTTTCCTTCAAATCAAAATTTATTTTATTTGTCTTGATTTTTTTTTTTGGTTTTTTAGGTTCAAATATAAGATACAGGTGTAATGAATACAAAAAAATATAGTTTAAGGATTTCGGACAGGAATTACGAGCTCTATCGTGTCCATAGCACGGCAACTCAAAGCTCAAGGCGCTACGGCATATGTTCCATAAGTCCGCCATTTTGTAAAATATTGTTTATAACTAATATTTTTTATCATCTCTGATTCTACTTTAAACTATATCCAAAGTTTCACGACGATTGCTTGACTATTTCTTATAAAAAAAATTCACGAAAAATGGCCAAATTTTGACCGCTTACATGTATATCCCCCCTTAAATAGTTTTTAAGTTATAAGTATAAATTCACGAAGTGCCTGAAAATTGCAAACAATTAATTGACAACCTAATAATTGCAATGTTTACGTTATTGTTATATTTTACTATGTTCTAAGTTGAAATATTAAATTTTTGTTTCTTATATTAATAACTATCACTTATCCTAAACATAATGTAAAAGAAAAATGAAACATTTTCTCGTTTTTGTTAATAAATTTTAAGTTTAAACCCAAATTTTATGGGAATTTTTCGTTTTGCAAAGAATTTCTTGACAAACTGTATGTAAGTTAACAACCAACTCCCAGCTTAGGCTGAGCAGGCCAGTTCTTATTTACTTTATTAATATTAATCATTTATCATGTTTATCATTCTCTAGTATTAATCACTTTTTATTATTATTAATATTATTATTACACTTCTCCCTCATGCATGGTCCACCCTAAATTGGGTCCGCCTTATTGGCCCTAGAGCTGAGCCAGCACATTGTGCCATTCCGAGCCGTGGCTCCTTTTCATTGGCTGACAGCGATCGTATGACTTCTGCAAAATGGGCAAGGTCAGCGGTCTGCCACGGGCAACCGGCTATGCATGAGCTTTTGTTCAATCTTAAGTTTTAGTTTTAACTTGGATTTGAAATAAAGAGCACCAGCTCGATCATAAAAACTCCGGCCTTAGCCGTTACATTATTCTGATTATTGAATTTGGTTATCGTGCCTTAAGGGGGCACATCTTAGTAACTGGCCAAAAAAAGCCGATTTTCAAGATTTTTTTTTGGCCAAATGAAAAAAGCAAATCGAAAAATTTTAAAGTAGGTTTTATAATGTTATATGTAAAGTACAAAATACATTTTTTTGGAATAAATCGAAAACAAAATGGCGGCTGTGCAGCATTTCTTCGTAGGCCCTATTTTTTTGAAAGGGGTCTATGGCCGGAAACCTAACGTCCTTAATTTTTAATCTAGAACAAAAAATCAAATTTTGTTAGTTTCTGTATCTCAACCGCTATCGACACACGTAGGATTTTTTCGATATTTTGATTTTTAGCAAAATGGTGAGTGATTAAATAAGTTCAATTTTCATGAAAAAAAACGTCACAAAATTGTTGATAAAAAAAAAAGTAAGCAAAAAAAAAAAAAAAAAAATCCTACGTGTCGATAGCCATAGGTATTTTGCATATACAGTCAAAATTTCAGATCGATCGGTTAAGATTTGTTTGAATTAGGTTTCCGGCCAACTCAAAAAAAGTGGTTTTGAGAAAAACGCGTTTAAAGTTTTAAAATCGTATATGATTACATGTGAGGCATCGCCGCAGAATAGAAAATTTCGACACTTAGAAACTTTTGCCGGACTCTATCTTTTGATATGTTATTTTTTAGACCCTAAAGTATTTTTTAAGCAAAAAAAAATTTTTTCGATTTTTTTAACAAAAGTTACTCAGATGTCCCCCCTTAAGGGCCGTGACAACGGAGATAAGTATCTCCCACCGTATACTTCAGAAGAAGCAAAGGAGTCAAAGCGACCACCCGACTCCCCAGTGGCTGCCAATCTTGGTGGTCACCAATACTCAACCAGCGGCAGTACCCTACTGCCAGCCCCTCACGGATTTATTACCTACCGGCTCTACCCCTGCCGCGGAGGATCCGCCAGCCGGCACGGACAATTAAACAATTTGTATTTAATTCACATATAGCATTAGTTCCTTGAAGGACCCAGCAGCAGGCAGACCCCCGTGACACGAACTTATTTATTTTTAAATATGCAAAAATATTTAATGCTATCAAAATAATGAACATATGTATGTACAAAAAATTTGTAATCTACATACATATGTATGTATAAATAAATAAGGAATAAATTACTTCGAATTTTTTTTTGTATTTTCTATAGGTTTTTATCTGGGATTATTCGCTGATTCCGCCCGGAATTCTTCTGTAATTCGAACTTTGAATATCAGGCTTGATACCCATGCTGTGAAACAAATTCCGGGCAAAAATTTGGCCCTAGTGCTTAAAATCTGACAGAAATCCTACAGACAGGTACTGACGGGTGTTTACAGTATTAACATGGATGCCAGAAGCTTGACCAAAAAACGAAATCTGCTGCTTCTACATATGTACATAAGTTTGTACATCTATTCAGCTGGCTGACTTTGCGATTACTAATTACGTTCTGTTTAGCATTTAATAGTTATTAGGTCGGCGGTCATATATAAATATTTACTTGAACCATAACAGCAATTCGAAGGTGGTCTTTGCCAATAGAAGATTTACATCCTTTGCAAGACGCACGTCCAGTTCTGGCATACTCTGCCATATACGGTAGTTCCATTTCCATACCTTTACCGGCGAATTAACTAAATGAACATAGATAAAACTATTTGAGAAGAGAGAAAATCAATTTGAATATAATACATTCAGCTCTTTTCGATCAATCGATCATTAATATTGGTTTAAACGAATCGATGTATCGTAACCGTGTCCAACTTATGTTCCACCATTACTAATAACCTCTTCCCACAGAGATCTAAACACCATCCTTAAAAAGGATTATACTAATATGACATTAGCGCATTAATTAGAGATTTCATTAAAAATTTGACAGCGCTATAGCGTTTTACATAAGTGCGACCAAGATGACTATAATAGGGACTTCCCCCACACTGTCACAGCGCATTCACCGTCCGTTGAACTAACTGCCCATAAGGTTTTGCCGTTCCGAATTTTCTCAAATGGACCGCGGTTAAAACGCATTAAAATCTAACCACCGTTTGTTTGGCGATAGTTAGGCGATAGTTTTTCGGTGCAACTCTGATTTCTTCTTCTTATACTGTCTTCCCACACAGCACATTTGTGAGGAACGTTTGGGATTTTTAACAAATGTGAAACTCGTGTTCCCACACAACATCAAAGCACATTCAACATCCGAACAGCTGATCGATCAGCTGTGGCTCATGAAAACGTAATAGGGTCTTCCCACACACCGTCAAAGCGCATCTGGCATCCGTTGAACAAACGGTCCATAAGGTTTTGCCGATCCGAATTTTCTCAATTGGCCCTGCATCAAAGCGCATCTAAATGTAACGACCGTTTGTTTGGCGATAGTTAGGCGATAGATTTTCGGTGCAACTCTGAAAATTTGACCAACACTACGAAAGTGTATACACACTTGGCGAGAAACAAACGAGATTTGGAATTTAAAATGTGGCGCCAAAGCTACAAGCATGCCCAAAATAGTTGTTGGCGTTTTTTCTGTATATTCTTGCACCAATAGGTCCCCAATTGTTACTATTTAATATAAACCGCCTGCCTCTACCTTATTTTGAAGATTTTGGATGCCTATACCACCTATAGACACTTTTTGGGGAATTTGCTCTTTGTTAGAGAAAAATCATTAGAAAAACTAAAATTCCCTGTCATTTAATTCATTTAAATTTATTGCGGATAAATTCTGACGCAATCTGTGCCTTTTTCTGTTGTACAACAGCCAAAATAGTTGGTAAATGCTCCATTTCAAATTTGCAACTGCCAATTCGACAGCCTTTGTTTACGTTTTCATGAGCCACAGCTGATCGATCAGCTGTTCGGATGCAGATGCACTTTGATGCAGCTCTGTGGGAACACGAGTTTCGCATCTGCGAAAAATCCCAAACGTTCCTCACAGATGCGCTGTGTGGGAAGACAGTATAAACAAAGGCTGTCGAATTGGCAGTTGCAAATTTGAAATGGAGCATTTACCAACTATTTTGGCTGTTGTACAACAGCAAAAGGCACAGATTGCGTCAGAATTTATCCGCACTAAATTTAAATGAATTAAATGACAAGGAATTTTAGTTTTTCTAATGATTTTTCTCTAACAAAGAGCAAATTCCCCGAAGAGTGTCTATATAGTATAGGTATAGTGGTATAGGCATCCAAAATCTTTAAAATAAGGTAGAGGTTGGCGGTTTATATTAAATAGTAACAATTGGGGACGCATTGGGGCAAGAATATACAGAAAAAACGCTAACAACTATGTTGGGCATGGTTGTAGCTTTGGCGCCACGTTTTAAATTCAATATCTCATTTGTTCCTCGCGAAGTTTGTTTACATTTTCATGGTGAATGGTCAAATTAAGAAGAAGAATCAGAGTTGCGCCGAAAAACTATCGCCAAACAAACCGTGTTTAGATTTTAATGTGTTCTAACGGCGGTCCATTTGGGAAAATTCGGAACGGCAAAACTTTATGGACCGTTTGTTCAATGGATGTTGAATGTGCTTTAATGTTGTGTGGGAAGACCCTATAAAGCACATTCAACATCCGTTGAACAAACGGTCCATAAGGTTTTGGCGTTCCGAATTTTCCCAAATGGACTGTCGTTAGATCAACATTAAAATCTAAACACGGTTTGTTTGGCGATAGTTAGGCGATAGTTTTTCGGTGTAACTCTGATTTTTCTTCTTAATTTGACCATTCACCACGAAAATGTAAACAAATTGGCAAGGAATAAATGAGATATGGAATTTAAAACGTGGCGCCAAAGCTACAAGCATGCCCAAAATAGTTGTTGGCGTTTTTTCTGTATATTCTTGCCCCAATATGTCCCCAATTGTTACTATTTAATATAAACCGCCTACCTCTACCTTATTTTGATTTTTCTCTAATAAAGCCTAGTACTCTGACGAGAAAAAACCGCTGTATAAATTTAGACAGCGGCCAAACTCCATATAAAAAAAACGGTGTCGAAAAAAAAAGAAGAAGAACTTTTAGACACGTCGTTTTTTTCGGTACTCTGACGACGAAAATGAAGCCTGCGAAAATTGAATGGCAAGATAGTAAACAGCTGATATCGCGCTGTCTAAATAATTCATTTGATTTATTTAGACACCCCTAATGGAGGGAAAGTTGAAGGAAAAAAGTGGCATTGATAGGGGCTGTCAAAGGGAAGCCCATAATATGGAATTTAACCCACAAAGGACATTTTAATGCCATATTTATTAATATTTTTAACATTTTTTTTGAATATTTGTTTACAAACAGCTGTCCAGTGTGACCAAGGAAAATCCTTAAACGCCATAAAAAGTACATTTTCATGGAATTTCCTTAATTTTTTTGGTCACACTAGCTCGGTGGCGAAATAAACAGCGATTCCGCTGTCTAATTTAGACAGCGGTTTTTTCTCGTCAGAGTACTAGGCTTAAAGAGCAAATTACCCGAAAAGTGTCAATAGGTGGTAAACGCATCCAAAATCTTTAAAATAAAGCCCAGTACTCTGACGAGAAAAATCCCCTGTCTGAATTTAGATAGCGGCCAAACTCCATATAAAAAAAACGGTTTCGAAAAAGGAAGAAGAAGAACTTTTAGCCTCGTCGTTTTTTCCGGTACTCTGACGACGAAAATGAAGACTGCGAAAATTGAATGGCAAGATAGTAAACAGCTGATATCGCGCTGTCTTAGTAATTTATTTGATTTATTTAGACACCCCTAATGGCGGGAAAGTTAAAGGAAAGAAGTGTCATTGATAGGGGCTGTCAAGTGGAAGCCCATAATATGGAATTTAACCAACAAAGGACATTTTAATGCCATATTTATTAATATTTTTAATATTTTTTGAATATTTGTTTACAAACAACTGTCCAGTGTGACCAAAGAGAGTCCTTAAACGCCATAAAAAGTAAATTTTCGTGGCGTTTCAGGCTTTTCCTTATTTTTTTTGGTCACACTAGCTTGGTAACGAATTAAACAGCGATTCCACTGCACTATGGTTTTTTTTTCGCGTTTTTTTTGGCATAAACTCTGATCTGAAATTTGGTTTGTATACATTTTTTAAGCTTCTATGATGACCTACCAAAAATCAAAATTTTCTAGTTCAGTATGGTTTTTTCCGATTTTTTTGCTATAAACTCCAATTTTAGGCCTATTGTATTGAAATTTCGTTTAAATACCTTTTTTAAGCTCCCAAGAAGACATACCAAGTTTCAAATGATTTGGGGCACTATATCATATAGCTGCCATATAACCGATCTGGCCGATTTGCACCAACTTTTTTGTTTTTCAAGCTAGTGCTTTGAAATTTGGTTTGTATGCATTTTTTAAGCTTCCAAGATGACCTACCAAGTTTCAAATGATTTAGTTATATTTTAACAAAAAACTTTTTTGGGCCAATCCCCAGATCTGTTTTCTCTAATAAAGAGCAAATTCCCCGAAAAGTGTCTATAGGTGGTACAGGCATCCAAAATCTTTAAAATAAGGTAGAGGTAGGCGGTTTATATTAAATAGTAACAATTGGGACATATTGGGGCAAGAATATACAAAAAAAAAACGCCAACAATTATTTTGGACATGGTTGTAGCTTTGGCGCCACATTTTAAATTAGATATCTCATTTGTTCCTCGCCAAGTGTGTATACACTTTCGTAGAGATGGTCAAATTTTCAGAGTTGCACCAAAAAACTATCGCCTAACTATCGCCAAACAAACCGTGGTTAGATTTTAATGTGTTTTAACGGCGGTCCATTTGGGAAAATTCGGAACGGCAAAACCTTATGGACCGTTTGTTCAACGGACGGTGAATGTGCTTTGACGGTGTGTGGGAAGACCCTATTATAAGCATTAATTTGTCATCTACGTCTGCGTTGAGACGGGTACGGTGATCTAATATTTGTTGTCCTGCTTTGCCCGATCCAAATTGCAGGACGTTGCAGACACACATAGGTATTTATTCATCACATACTTAAACGAGTCCATGATCTTTGAAATCTCCTAAAATTGAAATATATTTATTTAAAATGAATCACAATCAGGCCTGATCCATTAATCGAAAACGGCAAGATTTTTTCGTTTTTGAAAACGAGAAATTGGTGCTCCGATAATCGAAAACGAAAGACTTTTTCGATTTGAAAAACATGCACCTTTTTCTGGCCGGAATGAAAAGTAATTGGCTTTTATTATATGAAATCAGATCTTATTTACAAAAGGAAAACAAATAGTTTACTCAGTTGTCTATTGATGTTTATTCCTCACCACCATAAGATCATTCTGGCAAGTAGTTTATAAACAATTTTTTTATGACCCCACCTCAGATCTGACAAAAAAATTTTTGCCGTGTTCACCAAGTTTTTTTCGTTTTGGCGATAGGTCGATAAGTTCATCGCAAAAAGTTATCGCCGAGGTTGCCATAATATTGGTGGAATGAAACAGCCAGATAAAAATACTTATGTGTCGCAGTTCTCAGAAGAGTTTAAATTCCATGAACGCTAACGATATTTGGCGCTCACTTTTGGTTGTCGCTGAATATACGCAACTGCGACATTGGTTCCTGGTATTCCTTGCTGCTGTATTCGTAGCGCGGCGGCATTGCCAGCTCTCTTAAAGAGTGGCGTTGCCGTTGAGTGAGGCCCGGTCGCTCAAGAGAGAAAGGGACAGAGAATCGAATAGTGGCAAGAGTATAAA